CTAACCTTTTATATGGCATCATGAATACTAATAAACAATATAATAAAAATAAGTTTAAAATTCATTATAGATTTCAAAAAGCACTGATACATTTGAAAATTGTATTCTATTCAATCCTCTTAATTAACATGGCTACTCCTATTGTACCAAAGGATAACTTCCACGCAGACGTTGACGATATCGGTTTTGAAATTTTCTGTCTTATCTGGCTCGATGATAATACAACCGCTGAAGATAATCGAGATACAGAACAGAAATTACGTTCTATCATTAATCGTCTCAAAAAGTTTCAAGATGTAAAACAATGTCAAAAATATATTGAAGAACGTTCACAAAATGAACGAGTTGTCATGATTGTTAGTGGTCGATTGGGAAGCGAAATAGTCCCTTCTATTCATAAACTGCGACAAGTTATATCGATTTATGTGTATTGCATGGATAAGAAACGTAATAAACAATGGGCTGACAAATTCAAAAAAGTAAAATTAGACTGAGTTATTTTGATTTTAATGTATAACTTTTTCTTGCTAGGTAAAAGCTGTTATCGTTGAACTTGATGAACTAATTTCTCGAATTCAAGCTGATCATAAAATTCAGAAAATGGTGGAGGAACCATTATCAATTAATGTTTTCACTATAGGGTCTGATTCAGGCAAGTCAACAGCTGATGTAAATGGTAAATTTGTTTTTTTCCAACTTCTTATTGATTGTCTTCTACGATTAAAATCTACTGACAAAGATACAAAGGAGCTTATTAAACATTGTGAAAAGGCATATGAAGGTAATAATTTTGAATTAAGGAATCTTCGTGAATTTAAAAGGGATTATTCGCCTGACAAAGTCTTACGGTGGTATACACGGCAATCGTTCTTTTTCAAGACTCTTAATACGGTTCTACGCACCGAAAATATACATATGATTTTTTTATTTCGTGCATTTATCTCTGATATACAACGTCAATTAAAAAAGTATCAAGCTAAACATTCTCTACGAGTTTATCGTGGACAGATGATATCAAAAAGTGAACTGAAAGCTTTACAGCAATGTTGTGATCAATTTATTTCCGTGAATTCATTTTTTTCTACTAGCACTGATGATGAACAAGCTAGTGTTTTTCTCAATGTTCCTGATGATGCAGACAATTTAGAACCAGTACTATTTGAAATCTATGCCGATCCTAAGATAGCCGCTACAAAACCATTTGCTGATATCAGTGCACATAGTGAATTTCCTGATGAATCAGAAATACTTTTCATGCCTGGTTCTATTTTTCGTTTGAACAGCGTCAAACGCAATAGTGATAATCAAGTATGGGTCATCCAAATGACGTTGTGTAGTGAGAATGAACATGATTTAAAACAAGTTCTCACGTATATGAAACAACAACTTGGTAGTGGAGAAACAAATCTTCGAACATTGGGAAAAGTATTATGCAAAATGGGAAAATTTGATTTAGCTGAACAATATTTTACTCGTTTATTAAAAGAACTTTCACCAAATGACCCTTTACTCAGTATTTTGTATGAAGATCTTGGTGAGCTGGCATCACAGACTGGTGACTACAACAAAAGCGTCAAGTGGCATCAAAAATCGCTCGAACTCAAGCATCAGCATGAGTTAAATGATACAGTCAATATTGATCAACGTAATAATTATATTGGTAAGTTCATCGACAGAAAGTATATTATCTTTGTGAAAATTCATAATCGATACCATCAAGCAATTCTTCTTTATTGCATGTCAAATAGACATTTTAGGTTCCCGAAATAGTTGACGGTTAGAATCGAATCGATAGAAGTATCTACTATTATCGGCCCTAGTTTTAACTGTTATCGTCTCTGACCATTGTCTTACGGTACTTTTGTACGATAACACTGGTTTTCACATCTTTCTGTCTATATTACTGTATGATGACAGTGATTATGAGGGAATCAATTATTTCCTTACGTTTCAGCTAACAAGTATAAACTCAAATACATATTCAACTATCACAACATTCTTAAAAACTCTGCCAAAGAGCTTTTAATTGTCATTGATTTCCAAAAAAATGTTCAAGTATTATCTACAATGGTGCTAAATCTTTTCCCCATCATCTAATAGTTTTATTCACTGACATATGTGAATAATAATAACTTAGACAGTTTATTCTCATATTCTTTTATAAATATCATATTAATATGAATAGAGATTCATTCAACTATAAAGATTTACGTTATTTTAAAACACATCTTTATGTGTCTTGTGATTCACTCTTTGTCCACTGTTGTGTA